CCTTTGCTTTCTTGGGTACAGGAACAATGGTGGACATCTTGAAGCAAGTGGGGACAGCAGACTGGGATAGGGAGAGATTGAATATGTCCGTAAACACTCCAGCCAGCTGGTCTGCGCATGCTCTGAGGACGCGGCTAGGGATGCCGTCTGGGCCGGCAGCCTTGCGAGGGTTAATAAGCTTAAATGTCTTACTCATGTCGGCCACGGAGAACGAGAGCCCACAGTCCTTGGGAGCGGGCCACGTCGGTGGCACTGTGGTATCCTCAAAGCGGGTAAAGGTGTTCAGAAGCAAGACGTCGGTGTCTGCGACGTGGCTGGTTATCCCTTTGTAATCCGTGATTGTCTGTAGACCCTGCCACATACGTCTTGTGTCTGAGCCGTTGAATTGCGACTCTACTGACGTTTTGCCTGTTTGATTGCCTTACGGAGGGAATAACTACGCTGTTTGTATTCAACCATATTCCCAGTCACCTTGCCATGGTTAAATGCGGTAGTTCGCGCTTTCAGTTTTGCGCGAATGCTGCCATCTATCCACGGTTTCTGGTTTGGGTAGGTTTTAATAGCCACAGTGGGAACAACATCCCCTATACACTTCCTGATGAACTCAATCACTGTGTCCGCGTGTATGCGTCAATATTATTCTCAGAGGCTACCCGGAACATATCCCAGTCCGCGTGATCAAAACAATCTTGAAGCATGGATTCCGATTGATCAGACCAGCGTTGAATAGACCTTAGCACGGGTACTTCCTGTTTGAGTTTCTGCCTATAGGAAGGGAGGAGCAAAATGGAGTCGTGATCTGATTTGCCAAAGGGAGGGTGATAGAACTTCGGTAGCATTTTCCTCAAATTGCTTTGTTAAAATCCCCAGCTACAATTAATGCGGCCTCAGGATATGTGGTTTCCAGTTTGCACAAAGTCCAGTGTAGTTCCTTGAGGGCCGTCGTGGTATCGGCTTGAGGGGGAATATACACGGCTGTGACTATAACCCAAGATAATTATTTTGGGAGGTAATACAGTCGATTGTGAGGTATTCTAGGTCGGGTGGACAAAAGGACTTGGGTTTCTGCACGTTATCACAATCACACCATGAGTAGTTAATCATGAAACATACACCACCGCCTTTCTTCTTCCCGGAGAGTTCTTTATTCCTGTCTGCGCGATGTACTGAGAACCCAGCTGGCTGTATGGACGGGGACAGTATATCCGGAGAGAGCTATGATTCCGTGAAACAGAGTATGTTACAATCCCTGATGTCTCTCTGGAAGGAGGTCCTCGCCCTTAGCTCGTCTGCTTTATTGTCCAGAGACTGAACATTAGCGAGTAATATACTCGGAAGTGGTGGATGGTGTGCACACCTGAGTCAGACTATAAGTCCACTCCGAATACCTCTTCTCCGCTGGCGGCGTCTTGGAGCAGCTTCTGGGATATGTTCAATTGCCCTCGGGGGGTACAAACAAAGTATCCAATTCGGGAAAGTCATATTCCTGGTCGTAATGCTGGTTACCGCCGCTCTGATATCCAAAGGTTATTTCCGGCTGTATGTATTAACACAAAAAAAAGTTCTGGGCTAATAATGTAAGAAATAACACACAAAAACAACAAAATTGTTGCTTAGGAGATAGAAGCAGAGCTGCCATGTCGGTGCCATGCTCTTTCCATTGAATACAAGCAGTTGACGTCAACAACCGTCATCAAATATTTAAAAAAGGATGACAATAATGAGATCCACCAATACAAAGAAAGGGCAGGAGGGTGCAAGACAACCTGCCATGCGCCTTTATGGAAAACGACTCCCATTGTTAGGGCGGAGAGACATGTATCTTGCCATAATCTTTGGTTTTACTATGTTTTACTCCGACCAAAATCTGTATGGAGGTTAACGAGAGAGTGTCGTATTTGGTCAACAAAAAATGTAATTGGTAATTTGCTAGGTCAGGCTTATTTGATCTAATAGAAGTTTCGTAATATTTAGGTTGTTATGAAGTCACTGATGTAAGTGGACGCAGGTGGCATTTCGGCAACTTTGAAAAACAACTTTATATCTGAGTTGTGGATATAACCTGTTTTAGGGACATTGCCATAGAGGGCTTTCACCATTTTAAATTAGTCAACTGGGTGGGGATTCTTATGATTTGGGAGCGTCAATCAACCTCAATGGCTCTGCCCATTCTGTCACAGATGCTACAGTGGCACCGATACAAAGATGAGTCCTCTATCTATCTCTATGGCCTGTTGTTCGCGTATTTGCCCTCTCATTGGCTAGAATGGTGCCACCTGATTTCGCCTCCCTTCCATCTTTGAGGACATGCATTTCCGTTGTTAGTTCGGTCACTTTACAATATAATAGACAATGGTAAATATAATAGACAATTGTAGCGCTGTAACTCTTTCAGGTCGTGAATACATTTTCTGCACATCTTTAGAAGTAGTATGAACATTACCAATCAACATGACATCAGGAACTCGAACTATTAATAAAAAACGTGCGCTGTTTACCAGGAGTGGGGTTCGAACCCACGCGGACAGTTGTCCATTGGATCTTAAGTCCAACGCCTTAACCACTCGGCCATCCTGGTTGGCGTCAAATGGAGGTCCAATAACAGGTCATGGATATCTGGATATATTGCAAAGGTTTAATCGTTTTCTTGCATGCTACTCGCAAAAATGTAACATTCCGATGTAAAAACAATCTATCAAACGGCATCTTATGTCGTTGCAGCGGGTGCTACTGTTATTATCAAAGAGATAGCTACTCTGACATGCCATTGTAACGATGTTGCAAGACAGCTGTCGATTGACCATAATGACTTCAGCCTGATCAACAGATACAAATCAAACGCTTGACAATGTGTGTTCTATCAAATTAATACGTTCCCTTGATGACGATACAGCATAAATTGGGCAGTTATTTGAATATTGTGCTTTGTCTTATTTTCCCTTGATTTAAACATAGGCAATCATTTCATTGGAGAAAACTTTGTGACCAGTGGTGGAAAAAGTACCCAATTGTGAAACTTGAGTAAAAGTATAGATACCTTAATAGAAAGTTACTCATGTAAAAGTTAGTCACCCAGTAAAATACTACTTGAGTAAAAGTCTAAAAGTATTTGGTTCTAAATATACTTAAGTATCAAAAGTCAATGTAATTGCTAAAATATACTTAAGTATCAAAAGTATCAATCATTTCAAATTCCTTATATTAAGCAAAGCAGACAGCACAATGTTCTTGTTTTTTAAAATGTAGGGATAGCCAGGGGCACACCAACACTCAGACATCATTTACAAATTATGCATTTGTGTTTAGTGAGTCTGCCAGATCAGAGACATTAGGGATGACCACGTGTTCTCTTGATAAGTGCCTGAATTGGACCATTTTCCTGTCCTGCTAAACATTCAAAATGTAGAGTACTTTTGGGTGTCAGGGAAAATGTATGGAGTAAAAAATACATTATTTTCTTCAGGAATGTAGTGAAGTAAAAGTAGTCAAAAAAAGTAATAGTAAAGTACAGATACCCAAAAAACGGCATATGTAGTACTTTAAAGTATCTTTACACCACTGTTTGTGACTAGTCACAGCCTACAAAATAAATAGGTATACCCAGGGCATAGATAACCTCTTTAAATGGGTTGCTACACAGAGTATGCCTATGCAAAAGCCACAGGCTGCAGCAGCATTGGTATAGGCAAAGCTTGTTTGCCCAATGATCGACCATATACCACACACTTCCTATAGCCTAAGTGATTGACTCACATTCTAAAACATCAGGCACAAATTGCATTGCATCTCCTATACTGTAGGCTGAGGCTCAATTCTGAAATACCAACTGACTTATGGAAGTATTACTATATAGTATACGCATCCAATCCTTTCAGATCTACACAGCAGGATCCTTAGATATTTGTGGGGAAGGGGCAGATTGGGTTGATTTAGGATTGGGCGATTGTCAAACAGAGAGATAGGTACTGCACTTGCTGGTGGGGTTATGGAACACAGACGTTGAAAGTTAGCCTACATGTCACAGCAATCTGATGAGGATTCTATGAGTCTGTTTTTGACTCATGCTGGAGACTAAACATAGCAATGGTCTCTTGGATATCTGCATGTGATGTGTATAATGGAAAAGTAGAGGCACATTCTTGTTTTCTTAACACTGTAAAATCCTGTTGAGTCATTCTGAGGTTGCCTTCAGTTGCAATATCAGTCAGTGTAGCAATAATGGTTGTGTCTCCAAGAAAGGAACTAAAATGTATCACAATAACAGTTTAGAATGTTGCATCATGATCAAGTAATTGTGTACATCAAAAATGAAACACATAGGGCCATTCTACAGCATTTGTATTTATACAAATCACAATATCCTGTCATAAACCATAAATAATATAAACAATTGTAAAATCAAACATTCAATACAGCTGAAAGTTATAGGACAAGTGGGAGAAGCAAGCATTTGAACTGCACTCAAGTAAACATTCTTGATTCACTCATCAAGTATTCTTTTAACTGCCAGCCTGGCGCACCGAACAAATGTTTTCTTTTTACAACATTAGAGAAATAGTACACCCCATATCACACTATTCATTTGCATGTTAGCTTCTGTGGTTTGACATCAAGATACTGGGTCTTTTCTCCTAACACCAGCTAGGCAAGGGCGTTAATATAAAATGTATCTTCTACAGTAAGAGGCAGAAATAGCTGCATGTCAAACTGCATAAATAATTTTAAACATACATTGAGTGTACTAAACATTAGGAACACCTGCTCTTTCCATGACATAGATTCAGTTGAAAGCTATGATCCCTTATTGATGTCACCTGTTAAATCCACTTCAATCAGTGTAGATGAAGGGAAGGAGACAGGTTAAATAAGGATTTTAAGCCTGGAGACATGGATTGTGTATGTGTGCCATTCAGAGGGTGAATTTGCAAGACAAAATAATTAAGTGCCTTTCAATGGGGTATGGTAGTAGGGGTACTCAATATTAGGAAGGTGTTCTTAATGTTTTGTACACTCAGTGTACATTGGAACACACATACTGTACATCTTCAGGATCAAGTTCATACTTGTGTAAACAACTGCAAATTGATTACTTCTACTTCTTTAAATACATTTTCATGGCCATGAAAAAACTTTTGAGAGGATCTTGACTTTAGATAAAACAATAACACTGATATCGGTCGCTGTCTGTCTCACTTGTTGCAGCAAGGGAAACAACAACAGAACAACTTCCTACAGGGGTTGTTCTTCTTGTACTTCACCGCCATCTTTATCTGAGCCTGGGCCTTGCCCACGAAGTCTGTTGTGGCGACTACGTTGGCCTCTATGTTGTCCACCATGGCCCCCTGTTCCTCCACCAGCAGAGCCATCTGGAAGAACAGCTCATGGATGTCCTTGATCCGACTCTCCAGCTCAACCAACTCCTTGTGCCGGTTCTCGATCTCCGTGAGCGCTGATCGTGCCATCCGCCCGTCCGTCAGGAGGTTGTCGGAGAACACGTTCCACTTACCCGTCTCGACCATCTCCTCGATCTGCTCGCCGGTCACCTCCTTGCCCATGATCTCTGCCTGGCGCTGGATCCGGGTCTTGCAGTTCTCCCTCTGGCTCATCTCCGCTTGGTTGTACTCAGACATGGCCTCGTGGAAGGCCCCGGTGAGAGAAACATACTGTGAGCGCACCATGCGGACCAGAGCAGAATGGGCACCGTGCTCTTCTTCCAGCTGTTTGTGCTGCATGCCGATCTTCTCCAGCCGTGTGTAGATGCCCTCCCCCTGGGTCTTGATGCCCTTGGCCAGGGCGTTGGAGTCTCGTTTGATGGAGCTGATCCGCCGGACAGAGGTGAGGAATCGGGTGTTCTGCTTGCCCAGACGCTTCACATCCATCCGGAGCAGAGCGATCTCCTTCCTCATGGACTGGGCCTCTCTGAAGATGCTGTCCATCATGTCTTCGAACACCACTGACTGCTGCTCCAGTTCTTCCTCGTCATCAGTGCCCCGACCCTGACCTCCCTCGTCTGTGTGTGGAGAAGCGGGGGCCACCCCCTTCAGGTCAACCAGTCTGTCTCTCATCCTACCTGGAATGGGCGGGAAATGTTTTGAGGGTTATTGTATGTTCATGGGGTCATCTCCTGATCATCTCCTCACTTTCATCCTACTTCCTGTATATTGTAGAGCAAAACCCTGCTAGAGCATTGCTGTTTTAATTATTTATGGTCATGCAACAAATTTCAGCAAAAGTTGACTTTATCTTGCCTTAAGAAGTTAGCAAGCTGCATAAACTGTATTAAGTGCAACATATCTGATTTAAATAGATAACAGACACAAGCCCCTTTTCTGTTAAGGCAATTTAACACCATTCTATAACAGGAAATGAAATGACACCTATTTTGTCCGAGTAGACAATGGGGCTGGACAAATCTTTTTGACTGTGCTGGTGTTGCAGACGATACAGGACTATTAAAGGCCCAGTGCGCTACTTTTGTGAAGAACTACAATTCATATGTTGGGTGTTTTTATTCCGATTTTTCAGCGCCCCTACTTATCGCGGCTATGGTCGGTGATTACTTTATTTTTTATAGACATCAGTTATTAGATTCCAGGCCATTGACTCATAGGACATCTATAACGAGTGGTGCAGCGGTCTAAGGCACTGCATCGCAGTGCTATCTGTGCCACTAGAATCCAGGCTCTGCTGTAGCCGGCCGCAACCGGGAGACAAATGGGGCGGCGCACAATTGGCCCAGCGTAGTCCAGGGTAGGGGAGGGAATGGCCGGCTGGGAGGTAGCTCAGTTGGTAGAGCATGGCGTTTGCAACGCCAGGGTCGTGTGTTTCGATTCCCACGGGGGGCCAGTATGAAAATAAAAAAGAATAATGTATGCACTAACTGTAAGTCGCTCTGGATAAGAGCGTCTGCTAAATGACGTAAAATGTTAAAAAAATGTAAAAATATAACAAAAGTTAATATTTTCACAACAATTTCATCACTGAAAGACATTCTTTACCACCCTTCAACACACCTTGAACCCTTTCCAGGCATTTAATTATAGGCTTAGGTTATGATTTATCATCTCTCTAATCTATTTCATGTTGCTACATGTATTTTACTGTTACAGTAGGCTACACAAGAGAATGCAATATGACAAGTTTCTTTCTGTGACCAAACTGAACACCATGGCAAAAATGTCGGGCCAAAACACAAGCGCAGGTACACACCTATATTCTCGACATTATTTATTGTAACAGACAACAGTCGCAACACATTACATTTAAGGAATAATGCACATTACAATTAAATAGAGCAGTACACAATTTCACTCGGACAACAACCCAAACTCAACTTGATGAGCAAAACGCATCTCATCACAACCTTGCGTTCTGTGATAACGTTGTAGGCTAAATTAAATAACAGGACTGAAGCAACTCCAAACTTAATCTTAAACATTTTACCTGATATCGTGCTCCGTAGACTGTCCTATAACACCAAAATCATTAAAACAGAACAGACAAATCCTCGAAGAATCATTTCCCCTTTCTGCTCCGTTTAGTCATCTAGCTGTGCTGCCAGGAACCAGCCCACCACCTAATTTATAGCGTATATTCATGAGTGCAAACCGTAGCAAAACGTTTTATATTGGATACATTCAGATTGATCCCTCCCCGTTTCTGCAGTTTGGTTCCGGTTGGTTCCTAGTGAATACACCCCTGGCAGGGAGGTCCCCACGGCTGCTCGGACTTTTTTCATCCACCGCAACAGCGCAGGTGAAAAAGCTGAAGGAAGGACAACAACCATGTTCACGTTTTCATATTTAAAACTCTTAAAACATTGTTGCCAGTTATCATTTATATTGTGGTTGTTTTATGTTACTGGAAACAGAGATTTTATCAATGTTGTTGTTGTACATTATACTTCTAGTATATTTCAATGAGTATGATGGAACGGGTAATTCCCGTTGTGTGCACTTTTCTCTCTATGCATATTCTGAATTTAAACATAAGCATGAGATCAGCATGCTATTCAACCTCTCTTCGTTCGGGGTGGAGATCTAAGAAATTAAGGTGTGGCAGAGGAGTGTCTACAGATATGTGGTATTCTGACCTTGGTCTCAAAATAATGCTAATTTAACCACTCTCCTATTTCTTTAAAATGCAGTGGTAAACATATTTTACAGTGGTAAATATTAAAATAAAATATTCTAATGAAACGAACACCCCCACCTCTCTGTCATGGTTTAAACATTTTGTTTTTTATTTGTGGGGAAGCTGTCCACCTGGTAGGCCTAGTGCTGAATTTCAGCCTCAGCTGAGCTCCTTTATGCACACATTTCCCTTTGTACTTCCTCATTTTCGCCATTTGTTTGCCATGCGACCTTGATAAAAATAGCCTTTATTCCAATGTATTAGCTGTATCTGTTAATTTATCATTGTTTGCTTGAGTCATTCAGCTGTTTAGAGCGCTCATTGCTTTGTTGTTCAGGTGCGCGGGTACTGGTGTTCTCCGAGCCATCTGTGGCCAGAAGTAGTAGACAATTTATTTAGCTTAATTATTTTCTATCAATATTTATTTTCTTTACTGGATCACCTTTGGTATTTGGTATTTATTAGGATCTCCATTAGCCGCTGCAAAAGCATCAGCTACTCTTCCTGGGGTCCACATGAAACTTGACATAATACATAATACATAGTACAGAACATTATTAGTCAAGGACTGAAATACATACATTTAAAACGTCACACATAGCCTACATATCAGAACATACACACAATATCTAGGTCTAATACATAATACAGGGCAAATTACAATACAAGATATATAAAATGGCTGTGTCTCTTCACTGTCCCCTTTGTGCTGTAAGGTGTTCTTTTAACTGTATTTATTGCTACCTTGAGTTATCTGGGGTGGCAGTGTCCCATGTAGACATGGCGTTTCCCAGCCTCTGTTCTGGACATGGGGACTGTGAAGAGCCCTCTGGTTGCATGTCTTGTGTTGTACCAATGAGTGTCCAAACTGTGTGCCAACTGCTTGAACAGACTTCGGTACCTTCAAAACATAAATACCTCGCACAAAGACCAATAGTGATGCAGTCATTCTCTCCTCAGCTTTGAGCAAGAAGAGACTGACATGCATGTTCCTGACACTTTCCCTCCGTGTACATCTAAGTGCAGTATGTGCTGCTTTGTTCTGGATCAACTGCAATTGACCTATGTCCCTCTTTGCCGCACATGACCACACAGCTGGGCAGTAGTCCAGGTGCGAAAGAACTAGCGCCTGTAGGACCTGTCTGGTCGGCTGAGATGTCAAGAAGGCAGAGCAACGACCTATCATGGACAGACCTCGTCCCATTTTAGCAATATGTTTTGACCATGTCATGATGGTCGATAATATCACTAGACTAGCCTACAGCCTACAGCTAGACACCAATGCGCATCCAATCCATCCAACAAGTATACGTTAATGACAGTAGGCCAATAGTTGACTCTTTCGGTTAGAAGCATTCGATTTTGCAATGGCATAGGCCTATATTATTTTGGATTTGTGTGCGCATGCGAACTGTTTTCACGGAAAACATAATAAAATGTAACGTAGGCATAGTTACACTTGTGCATTTTCTGAGATCTCCAAGATCCATCATTCGTACAGGGTTTAAATTCAATATTCTAATTATATTGTTAAATGATTAATAATGACAAATAACACTGTCGTAAATGTCATTAATGTAAGGAAAGAAAGGAAGTGTTTTATGTCACACGATCTGTGAAGACTCCAAACATTAACTCATGAATTATGGACAACTCATGAACTAGGGTGTAAAACATGTTTTGATTCAACTCATGCATTATATTGAATGTAGGCTACCTATTCTGCGCGTGTGCATGTGTTTAAAATTGCCTCGGCTGAGAGGGTAGGCTTCCGGCAGTGGTGTAGGCCTAGTGGAGGGTAAACGCCATTTACCCACCTTTAAAAAAAATAAAATGTATTGAAAGCATGGGGAGCGGTACTTTTTTCACCGCTACGGGCAATCAGAGTTTACCCACCTATTTTATAAACGCTACACCACTGGCTACCGGTAGGCCTATTTGAAGTTCATGCTAATACACATTGTATCCTAGTCTAGTAAGTTGATCATGTGTGTTAGGGTGACCATCCCGTTTTTCCCGGGACAGTTTCAGCCCCATTTCAGGTGTCCTGACTTTTCAGGCTCCAAAAAAGGTCAATTTGTCACCAAGACACATCAACTAAGGCAGGTCTAATCAATGACAATATCTGAATGTCATTAGGCACACTTTTTGGTGTTTTGTAACAGGTGTCTATTTCCATTAATTAAAATGGTGCGAGTATACATGCAGTTTGGATGTTGGAATTATTTTGGAGTGGAAGAACATGCCTACTTTTTAAAGTAATTTGTTTGACAATCAGATGACAATATCATGACTGGTTGTGTTCATGCCACATTAAAAGCTATTTTTTTTTTTACAGTTTAAATGAATGCCATATTGTAATTCACACTCTGCTTAATGCCCTAATAATTCCACCACCTTTACGTGCAAGGAAACCATGAATAACGTCGAGCGAACCTACCTGTTCCAAGTCTACTTTATTTTTTTCCGATAGAAATAACAGCATTCGCAATACACTGTAATTTATAAATGGATAATATCTATTGATAAGAGCTAGGTAAGTAATCCGTTTGGAGAAGGGGATTATAAAAACACATAGCAATTGTTTTAGATGATTTTTCCTTATGATCCCTGGAGACGAATGTGAAACCAGTCATATAGAAGCAAACTGAAAATCATTTCATTATGACGTGTGCCCCTTTTCCACAGTGAAGTAGACTATAAATAGCAGTACCGTTATTCAGAATTGTATTTGTGTGCCCTTATAATTAGCGTTGATGAAATTTGGAGACCCAAGTTATAGGCTTCTGTAGGGCTGAACCTGCCGAGTTGATGTATGCGCTTTAGAATGTTTTAATTATATGCCTGGGCTTTTCTCCACTTTATTTTATAATTTTTATCATGTTAAATATTAGCCACTATCGGGAGCCACCATCAGTAACACCCACATACATTTATAACTGTCACTTTAGTGTTAGTTTTCTTACATTTGTAGCTTACATTTTGCATCATTCCATTCAATTCCGTTTACCTTTCTTTCCTCTGTCACGTATGTGAAGTTGTTCCTGAGGGTCACTAGCATTAGTGGATCATATTAGGCTAATGTTGTGCAATAATTTGCGACATGCAGCCTATTTGAATCATCATGGAACTCAGACCACACATAGCAGGTTAAACCTGGAGCCTGGCGCATGGTTCACGACGACTGGACCGTTGTCATACAGTTCCATGATTAGGGTAGATTAAGTAGATTAGGGACTATTGTTCAACCTTTGTTGTACACTTTTTTTGCACCTTCCAATATTTAATGGATTGACCTTGAATATGACAACTTTCAGGATAAATGAATATATTTTGTGCGTAAAGGCTCTGCAAACCTGTTTTTTTAATGATTCATGCATACTTTCCTAACCCTAAAATTAGCCTAAAATCAGTTTTTTTTTTTTATCTACCAGTTGGTGCTGAAACGGAGACAAATATGCATATGTTTAGATGGATTTCTTTCATTGATATCTATATTTTGAACCCGTTCTTTCGATGTATTCTAGTGAGTCGGCCAACAAAAGTCTAATTAAAGGTACACCATATGGCTTAAGATAAATGTACTGAAAACCGAATTGAATGAAAACTAGAGGAGAAAATCTGTTGGCCAGCAAGTGGGAGGGTTTTCAGCGGTTTAATTAAATGTATTGAGCACAGGCGAGGGAACCATGCCTGCAAAGGCCGTTATGCACCTGCATAAATTAAGTCTGACTACCAACTACTGAGAAGCGCGTAGGAAAGTCGTACATTTCCTAAGTCGGAATCGGCCCATATTATACATATTATACTTTTGTTGTGTTACAGCCTGAATTCAAAATTGATTAAATTGGGTGTTTTTCTCACCCATCTACACACAATACCCCATAATGACAAAGTGAAAACATATTCTTAGAAATGTTAGCAAATTTATTGAAAATGTATTACAGAAATATCTTATTTAGGTAAGTATTCACACCCCTCAGTCAATATATGTTAGAATCACATTTGACAGCGATTAAAGCTGAGAGTCTTTCTGGGTAAGTCTCTAAGAGCTTTGCACACCTAAGACTGTACAATATTTGCACATTATTGTTCAAAAAATTCAAGCTCTTTCAAGTTGGTTGTTGATCATTGCTAGACAGCCATTTTCATGTCTCGCCATAGATTTTCAAGCCGATTTATGTCAAAACTGTAAGTAGGCCACTCAGGAACATTCAATGTCATCTTGGTAAGCAACTCCAGTGTATATTTGGCCTTGTGTTTTAGGTTATTGTCCTGCTGAGAGGTGAATTTGTCTCCCAGTGTCTGTTGGAAAGCAGGCTGAACCAGGTTTTCCTCTAGGAATTTTTCCTGTGCTTAGCTCTATTCCTTTTCTTTTTATATATAAAAAAAAAACACCCTAGCCAATGATAAACATACCCATAACATGATGCAGCCACCACCATGCTTGAAAATATGAAGCGTGGTACTCGGTGATGTGTTGTGTTGGATTTAATCCTAACATAACGCTTTGTATTCAGGACATACAGTTCATTTCTTTGCCACATTTTCTGCAGTTTTACCTTAGTGCCTTATTGCAAACAGGATGCATGTTTTGGGATATTTCATTCTGTACAAGCTTCCTTTTTTTCCTCTGTCAATTAGGTTAGTATTGTGGAGTAACTACA